GACGGTTTCCATGTGACTGATATACAATTTTTTACTACACAAACACCTTTTTTCTCGAATTTTAGCTCACCCATTTCCATTCCCGTTTTAAGTTCTACTTTTCCAGCTACAATAAACCCATCTGTATGTATTCGTTTTACTTGATCTCCTAGTGGTTTCACGATTTCTGATATTCTTCTTCGCGCTGATGCTAATAAGAATGGTTTTATTCGTGGGTGTATACCATAATTTTGTCCATTTCTTTGCTCACATAGGACACCCCATAATGAAACTAATAATGCTTTACTTACTTTTCCAGCTGTTCCACCTTCTTTTTTAATGTTGTATAATATATTTCCCCATTTACCGAACATATCACTTCCACTAACACAGGTATTTTTTCGGTATATAAGTGCATTTGGTGATTCATCTAATAAATATACTTTTAAACCATTTCTTTTGGCACACTCTAAATCAAAATGTGTATAAATTCCATGAGGATTATATCGTAAATATCTAGTGCATTGCAAGCTTTTCTTCGGAGGATTTCCTTCTATTGTTGCTTTAAAAATTCCATATGGAAATTTATTCCATTTTTCCACCAAAGATACGTCTATAGTATAAAACTTACCTGTAGCAATTGGCCATGATGCTTCATTCTTTAACATTTCATATATATACATCGAATTTACGTCATATTGAATAGCTTCTCCTTCATATTTCTCTGCAAATACTAAAGCACCAGTTGTTGCTAAATTTAACCATGCGTTTTCTTTCTCATCGATTTTTTCACTTTTGTTCGGTGCTAAAGTTGTTTCTCGAAAAAGTTTTAAACTTGTTAATGAATAACCTCCTGATTTTCGCATATCGACTTGTCCATTTGTTTTTTCTGCTATGGCTTCCGATTCTTTGATAATTCTTTTATAAGTTTCTATGGTTGTTTCTTTTAAATCTGTTTTAATAAAATAGTACTTATTAGATAATGCATGAAAATCTTCTTTAATACCATACCATTTTCTCTTTCCATCATAAAATTCAAACCCATTTGGTACATTTTTATGAATTAAGATAGTTTTATGACCCTTTAGGGTCGCCCCTTCGGGCCTGCGAAGCAATGAGGCTTTGCCTCTATCTTGGTAGCTTACGCTATTTTGCTTTGTACTAGATCCTATCCCGGGGTCGACTGCCGGCGCGCTTGCTTCTCTTGCCTCTCTTGGCTGGTGCGTCGGTGGGTTTTCATCGAATGTTATGAGATCGCCTTCGGGAATCGGTACTGGATTTTCAGCTGGTGGTATATTTTGTGCCGGGGTTGGGTTTTCTGCCGGATTTTGAGTAGCTGGATTTCCTGCTGGAGCTGGGACTGAGTTTTGCATTAATCGCAAAGCTGGTTGACATTGCCCCTTACGAAGGTTTCCATTTAAATTCATGTGTTTATTAAGATCTCGGGTTTTACCAGTTCTTATTTCTCGATTACATCC